AGTGGCAGGGGAGAGGACAGGGGTCACCAGTGGCAGGGGAGAAGACAGGGGTCACCAGTGGCAGGACAGAAGACAGGGGTCACCAGTGGCAGGAGAGAGAACAGGGGTCACCAGTGGCAGGAGAGAGGAGAGGGGTCACCAGTGGCAGGAGAGAGGAGAGGGGTCACCAGTGGTAGGAGAGAGAACAGGGGTCACCAGTGGCAGGAGAGAGGAGAGGGGTCACCAGTGGCAGAAGAGAGGACAGGGATCACCAGTGGCAGGAGATCTGAGAGGGGTCACCAGTGACAGTAGAGAGGACATGGGTCACCAATGGCAGGGGAAAGGACAGGGGACACCAGTGGCAAGAGAAAAGAGAAAGGTCACAAGTGGCAGGAGAGAGGACAGAGGTCACCAGTGGCAGGGGAGAGGACAGGGGTCACCAGTGGCAGGGGAGAGGACAGGAGTCACCAGTGGCAGGGGAGAGGCATACTCAGTAAGCAACTACATCAGTGTCAGAAACTGCCTAAATGTTTAATATCTAGTCTGTGTGAAGTGGGGGTGCAGTATAAAATGTCAGGGGACAGAGGATGGGGGGTCAGCAGTTTGTAGGGCCGGGTACAGGGGCTATTCCTTTGTAGGACCGTGCTAATCCTGATGTCCAGAGATGTAATTCACATCAATCATGATAAGAAACTTTGCCTGCCAGTCAGTACAAGCCCCTCCCCCACCCCTAAATGACGGATTCCCAGCAGACATAAATTAAATATATAGCAGGGACTCCCGGGTGATGTCATAGAAAGAAATGTGGTGGATGACATCACCACGGATTGTGGATGGTATTAGCGGAGTTCATCTTCTAATGTAATGTGTTTCATGCTGTTCTGTAATATAGACAGCCTGCTTATCATTGATGCCCAATAACTCCCTGTATGAATGAAGAATCCCCCTCCTCCATTCATGTGATGGAAAACATAATATGTACAGGAAGATGAAAGAGGTGTTGTGGTTTCTACACCTCAGCTCTGGATATGACCTTAGATTTTACAATTGGCCAATTCAATTTCCTTTAAAGAATGCCATCAGAATTGTCTGCATGTCGGGGTGTTGGTGCAATAATGAAGGCATAATTAGGGGCCATGAGCGGTCGCAGTCATGTGATAATCAGCATTGAGGTGGCACTGCGTACGTAGAAGTGAGCCATTCATTTTGTACATGTTGCACCCTCCTAGTCAGGTCTAGGATGAGTATAGTTAGTAGTGATGGGCCGAACACCCCCCTGTTAAGTTTGCGATCGAACATCCGAAGCTACAGAATGTTCGACTGTGAACTTCGAACACGAACCGAACAAATGAGCAATATCTTCCTGCATCTGAGTATGTGGTAAGATCCTGGCCAGTTACTAGAATCCAGCCTGAGTTCTATGATGAAGTCATGTGATATTTTAGTAGTGAGACATTCATTCACGTCTCAGCTGTCAGTGGGGTTCCCCACCAACAGTTAAATGTCAAAAGAACTGTTGGCATTGCCCGGCAATTACATTTTTTTTTTAATGATGTGGGGTCCCCCCTACCATCCATAACAAGCCCTTCAGATCTGGTATGGATTTTTAGGGTAACCCCCATGCCAAAATTAAAAAAAAAATGGTCCCTTCCAAAATCCATACCAGACCCTTATCCGAACATGCAGCCCAGCAGGTCAGGAAAGGGAGGGGGGGGACAAGCGAGCACCTCCACTCCTCTTGATCAATACCAGGCCACGTACCCTCAACATTGAGGGTGCATTGGGGTGGGGGGCTCCCCCCCAAAGTATCTTGTCCCCTTGTTGATAGGGACAAGGACATCTTCCCCACATCTGTGGCCTATGGTTGTGGGGGTCTGTGGGTGGGGAGATTATCAGAATCTGGAAGCCCCTTTTAACAAAGGGTCCCCCAGATCTCGTCCCCTCCTTGTGAATGAAAATGGTACCGCTACCCATTCACAAAAAAGTGTAGTGTAAAAAAAGACAGGAGACAAACTTCGACAAGTCCTTTATAAAAAAATAAAAATTAAAAAAAAAGTCTCCCAAAGTAGATCTAATGTCAATCACAATGCCCGCTGCCACCGCTACCCAAAAAAAGAAAAAAAAAAAACACTCTGCTCTCCATCCTGGCTTCTGCCGTCTGACAGCTATGCCTGCAATGACATTTCTTATATACTGGCATGATGTCACAAGGGGGCGGGGGTTAACCCTGCCCCCTTTTGACATCATCACACCCTGGTATTTGTCAAAGAATTGCACCTGACTTATGGTCAGGTGCATTGCTTTGACCAATCACAATGTACTGTGAGGGCGCAGTGCATTGTGTGCCACTAGCCCGCCGAACACCTATACCATTCATGTGTTCAGCGAACACATGAATGGCCCATGTTCGAGTCAAATTTATGTTTGACTTGAACATGCAGCCCATCCCTAATGGTCAGGTTTCTTCTCACCAGAGAGACTGTCAGGTAAATTCAGTGTGATATTCTACCTAACAGAGTGCTATGATTGATTAGTCAGGTCTGCTCATGCTGCTCTGGTGCTGCTGGAGTTTGTCTGGGTTTCGCCCACCTTCAGGAAGCTAGGAGATCCTTCCAGAACATAAGAAGGGGCTAGGCAAATGAACAGCATGAATTTGGATGCAGTCCTGGCCAATTGCAGGGGAAGGAGGTCCCATTGCATGCCGGGATTGGTATTTATAGTCTGAGATCACATGGGTTCAGTGTCTTTCCCGGTAGCGGATCGCACCATCCAGGCTGGAGGCAGGTTGCATTTCCTGCCACTTGCTGCAATGTGGCCTCAGGTGGGTCGACCTGAGGGCCTGATGTTAGAGAGATTGACCCTGGTTCTTCAGTAAGCTGACTGAGGGGAGCTGTCTGCCAAAGCTCTGTCTGGTATCACTTGGACTATTGGAAGGAGGCAACCATTCTGTTCTTGGGCCTTGTGAGTACTGCCATTGAGGAATTTGGGGACTTGATACCTCCTCTGGTGTTTGCTAGTCAGCGTGGTTCTGCAATAAGAGAACACTGGCTAGTGTTCTGAAGAGCTTGTCCGAGTGTTGCTACTGCAAAAGGGCTGCGCTACCTTTGAGCTGTTGCAGTCTGTCACAACTGGCTTATACCTGAGGAGCTCAGCCCTGTAACTACTGCTACAAGAAGGGACTTTACTCACTCCTAAACTACTTGCTGTTGTATGTTACAAGGAGGTCTACTATCTACTGTTAGTCAAGACTTCTAGAGTGTTAAACTAAGAAATCAGCTAAATGTCCTTAGTGTGAATAGTTCTGGTTTGGAGTATCCTGCTACATTCCCCATCCCTATCTCTCTACAATAAAACCAAAGCACCCCCTAGACTGGCCATTGAAGACAACGAGCAAAAGTATGTGTGTATATTTAGGAATACACTGTATCTGGCTGCGGGGTGAAGCAAGGTGAAACCGGGACATCATACAAGCTGCTCCTTCAGGGGTAGCACTACACACAGATACACATTTAACTTGAAGCTCCTTACTGTGAGACACTTCTTCCTGTGACATTATACCCCCTATCTTTCTGAATGCACCATTTTGAGGGGGACACCTCGGAGATTGTGTCTCATTCCACCAGCCTAGCTTTAATTGCCACCTCACTCCCAGTGACAATGTGGAGGTCCTACCATCCACCAAGCTTGGACCTCTGTGTGTGGACTTGTTAACTCTTTACTTTATCTCTCCTATACCTCCACCTAGGTCCATATGTTCTTTGTGCTGCTCTAGGGGTACTGACTGATAGGAAAGGAGTTAGATCACCAACCCCCTTTGCTAACCAGAGGTAACTGTCACTCATGCCTGATACCACTCTCCCACTGGCTGGCTTCTATAACATTCTCACCAGTCCTGGTTACTCATAGCAACTGCATCTTAAATATGGCTTCCCTCCAGCTCTTCCGCATGGTTCACTCTTCCACAGTGGATCTCTAGCTTTTCCTCTTCATCCCCTTATGTGTTACAGGCCTTGTTTTTTAATATGCCATATACCTTCATGCACCCCTTTAGACAGACATCAGATCAGGCAGGAAATGGTTAACAACTTTACTGAAGACTTGCAGGAGTACAGTCCATAATGCACAGTCTCACAGAAAACACATTCCTAACCTAACTAATGCAGGATACCCAGTGCATACCTTCCAAGGAGCGAAAGTATGTTTAGCAGGGTCCATTACTAATAGGTTCCTAACTCCATGGGGAATCCCAACAGGGTCGCTCAGAAGGGGGCCACGTGTTCTGGAGAGACCACATTGTGCAGAAGACCCTCCCCCCTTTCTCATGGGGGTACTCCAGAATCCAAGCAGGCCAAATGATGACAGTTCCCTCCCCTTGTATTTGTGGGCTCGCATTAAAGGACTGAACCATGAACACCTTGGAAAAGAAGAGAACCATCCAAGCTTCCTAGCTTTAGGCAGCCTGCAACTTGCTATACACATAAATGTCAGTGCAATTAATACCGGGACCGCAAAGTGCAGACAAGGCTAAAACGTTCACAGATATTGTAACCTGTAATCACCCACTTTACAACTGTCTTTCCCTTATTATCGTTCTTCTAAAGGTAAGAGATATGCTTATCTTTACTACTGTGAGTAAAACCTCCCTCCTCTGTACTCTGATCCCTTCATCTGATATTACTTCCCTGTGTCAGAGACCATCACTGTCATTTCTCTATCTGCTGTCAGTGATGGCATCTGCTGATCTGAGAGCTGAGCTGGAATGTTCCATCTGTCTGAACATTTATACTGATCCAGTAAACCTGAAATGTGGACACAACTTCTGCCGGGTCTGCATTGATCATGTTCTGGATACACAGGAGAGATCTGGAAGATATTCCTGTCCTAAATGCACAGAGGAGTTCCCGGATCGGCCTGCACTGCACAGGAACATGACTCTATGTAACATAATGGAGAAGTTGCTTTCTGCCCAGCCAAATCAAGAGGAGTCCGGGGTCTTCTGTACTTACTGTGTGGACTCTCCTGTACCTGCTGTTAGATCCTGTCTACACTGTGAGGTTTCTCTGTGTGATAAACACCTGAGAGTCCACAAAAACTCCCCAGAACACATCTTAACTGACCCCACCTTGTCCATGGAGAGCAGGAAATGCTTAATTCATAAGGAAGTCTTGAAGTATTTCTGCACTAAAGATAATATCTGTATCTGTGTGTCCTGCACTTTGGCTGGAGAACATCGAGGACACCAGGTGGAGATGCTGGATGAGGCTTCTGAGAAGAAGAAGGAGACACTGAGGAATGTTCTGCAGAAACTTCTGACAAAGAGAGAGGAGATGGAGGAAAGAGTCCAGAGTCTGCAGGAACACAGGAGGAAAGTAGAAGAAGAATCATCTGGTGACACCGAGAGAGTCACTGCCCTGTTTATAGATCTCAGGAGACGTCTGAAAGGCCTGGAGGAGAGAATCCTGAGGGAGATCTCTGGAAGGGCAGAGCGGATCTCTAACTTCATCCGGGATCTGGAAATAAAGAAGGAGGAGCTGTCCAGGAAGATGCGTGACATTGAGGAGCTGTGTAACATGACGGATCCACTGACTGTCCTACAGGAATCAGACACAGGTGACTTGTGTGATACTGAGGATGGAGATAATAAGGACAGAGAGAGACATGAGGAACTCCTCCATGATGGAGGGGGGGTGGATGTGGCGGGGGTCTTACACACAGGATTATCTGATATAATAACAGAGGTAAATGTATCCTTCTATATACAGGGAGCTGAGGACATATTACTGGATGGAAACACAGCTCATAATAAGCTCCATATATCAGATGATAGGAAAACTGTATCCTGGTCAGGTAGGAACCAGAATCGTCCAGTAACACCAGAGAGATTTCAGGATTGTCCTCAGGTGATGAGCAGCAGTTGGAGTTTCTCCTCAGGGAGACATTACTGGGAAGTGGATGTCGGGGGATCAAATAGATGGGGAGTCAGGATGTGTTACCCCAGTATAGACAGGAGAGGATGGCAGTCAGGGATTGGATGGAATAACAAGTCCTGGGATTTGTACAGGATTGGTAATCAGTATGGGGTGACCCATGACAGGAATAAGACAAACTTCCACCGCAATCTCTCCAGTACCAGAGTCAGGATATATCTGGATTATGAGGCCGGGCGGATCTCCTTTTATGATCTGTGTGACCCGATCCGACACCTCCACACCTTCACCACCACCTTCACTGAGCCCCTCCATGCCGGGGTATATATAGGGAGAGGTTGTATAAAGATTTGTGGGGGGAATCGGGAGATGTGAGAACTCCACCCAGAGATTGGTGATGTCACAGGGAGGAGAGATGTGATTTAGTGGAATGCTCAGCCAATGGGATAAAGCAGTGAGGTTTATCCCTCTTTCGCCAATCACTGTGATTGGGTAGAATATCGGTCCAACTACCGGACTGACATGTTCCTATTGGCCAGTGAGGAGGGATGTGCTATCTATCTATCATCTATCTATCTATCTATTTATCTATCTCTACATCCATGCCATGACAATCTGACATATTACTTTCTCTGTAATTATCACACAGAAAATGATCAGATATGACTTCAGTAATGTCCCTCCTCCTGCCCCTCCCCCTCCTCTCTGCCCCTTCCCCACATTCAGTCACTCTATGCAGGGTGCGGTCACTGTTATTGGACGGGATGGGGTCTCCTCTCCCCTCGTTCCTCTCCCCTATTCCATACAATCTATACTAAGAAATGATCAAACTTGCAGCCAGAACCTTTTTCTTAGTTGTGGATGGGGTGGGGGGGGGGGGGGGGTTAGAGCCCCAGTCAGATTTTTATATATTGGTCCTTTTGAAGATTTTCTGTCCGGTTAAATGTAGTCAGTAGGACAGGAAGTGTCTCCTGACAATGGGAACATTCTACAGAGACACATCATACATGAGGCTGGTAATATGGAGAATACAGGGGAAGCCAAACAGGGTGAAACCGGAGAAAGCACAGAACAGCGATCTACATCACAGTGCTGCTAACAGTCACACCGTCTGATTGGCTGCTCCGGGTCTCACACTCTGCTCTGTGCTGAATAAGATGAGATTTATTAAGGGAAAAGGAGAAGGAGGGGTTAATGTGTTCCTTCATCTTTATGGAATCCTCCAATGAAAGCCGGGGCTAAATATATCATATTCCCTGGTGCCCCGAATATGTCACATGGCCTGGGGCCCTAAATATGTCACATGACCTGGTGCCCCAAATATGTCACACAACCAGGGCCCCGAATATGTCAAATTGTCTGGGGGACAGAAAAATGTCACATTGCCTAGGATAGGTCCCCAACTATGTCCCAGCCCATGGAGACAGAATATGTCACATTGCCAGGAAACCTAAAGTATGTAACATTGCCTGGGGCCCCAAATATTTTGGAAGGTCTCAGGATGGGCTGAACCAAAGGGTTGGAAGAAGAGATGGCTGCTTTGGGTGTTTCAGTGGGGGAGGGACAAAAAAGGGTAGAGCCTGCAACCTATGCTACTGATGCAGTTTACATATCATGGGGGGAAGGGGCACTTTAACTTTCTTTTTGTTTTGGGTGAGAGAGGATTTTATCCCATCACTGTCTGGGGGCCCCAAGACAAATTTTGGAGCTCAAAATCTTACACTGATTTTGGGCCCCAGGCAACCTTAAAGAGACTTTGTTACTAGCCCACCCAAGACGGTGATAGGTTCTCTTGAAAGCCCTCCCCTGACCTGCTATAGAGATGGGACAGTGAAGAAATGTATAGAGTGCCGGTCCCGAGACAGAGCGCAGAGTGTAACCCGACTTATTGTCTGTCTTCGATCTGTGATGTCATACTAGGGGAGTGGCTGCCAAGGGATTTGCCCTTTAATACCAAATCTATCTATCTATCTATCTATCTATCTATCTATCTATTATCTATCTATCTATCTATCTATCTATCTATCTATCTATCTATTATCTATCTATTATCTATCTATCTATCTATCTATCTATCTATCTATCTATCTATTATCTATCTATCTATCTATCTATCTATCTATCTATCTATCTATCTATCTATCTATCTATCTATCTATCTATCTATCTATCTATCTATCTATCTATTATCTATCTATCTATCAATCTATCTATCTATCTATCTATCTATTATCTATCTATTATCTATCTATCTATCTATCTATCTATCTATCTATCTATCTATCTATCTATCTATCTATCTATCTATCTATCTATCTATCTATCTATCTATCTATCTATCTATCTATCTATCTATCTATCTATCTATCTATCTATCTATCTATCTATCTATCTATCTATCTATCTATCTATCTATCTATCTATCTATCTATCTATCTATCTATCTATCTATCTATCTATCTATCTATATATCTATCTATCTATTTATCTATCTATTATCTATCTATCTATTATCTATCTATCTATCTATCTATCTATCTATCTATCTATCTATCTATCTATCTATCTATCTATCTATCTATCTATCTATCTATCTATCTATCTATTATTATCATTATTATTAATACATTTACAATGAGTTTGTTCTATGGATGATTTTATTGTGTGAAGAAAAATACAAACAAATAATCGATCTACAAATAGAGAGAAATAGATGAAAATCGATGGAAAAATCTCTGAGGAAACATATGAAGAAAAGATCCTTAAATTTACTAGTGACAGAAAACATGGGATCTATCCCCAATATAATGATCTGAGTATAATAATGTGTCCCCAATATCATGTGTCCCCATAGAATGGATCCCCAATAGAATCCTACTGGATCCTTTTTATAATGGATTATAATATAATGTGTCCCCATAGAATGGATCACAAATAGAATTTTATTGGATCTCTTTTATAATGGATCCTAATATGCTGTGTTACCATAGAATGGATCTACCAATAGAATTCTGTTGGATTCCTTTTATAATGGATCCTAATATAATGTGTCCCTGTAGAATGGATCACCAATAGAATTCTATTGGATCTAATTTATAATGGTTCCTAATATAATGTGTCCCCATAGAATGGATCCCCATTAGAATTCTATTGGATCCCTTTTATAATGGATCATAATATAATGTGTCCCCCTATAGAATGGATCACCAATAGAATTCTATTGGGTCCCTTTTATAATGGATCCTGGTCCTGTATATAATAATCCTAATACAATGTATCATTGTGGTGTTGTATCTTATGATCACTCGATGTGTCCTGGTGATGGAGGAGGAGTCAGGAAAGGAGATGTTAATGTGAATAAAGTTTTTTTTCTCTCTTGTACATGTGACGTTTCGGTGATAGAACACAGAAATCATGACATGGAGATGTATTCCTGGTCATTGTGGGGGTGTTGAAGCTTCAGTGGATGGGGGGTACAGAAGTCAGTGCTCCCCATTTAGTGGAGGGAGTTTGAACTGAGGGGCGCGGAGCCTATTCATGGCGGCGTAGGAGAGCACGGAGCGGGTGCTCTCCGAGACTTCCACACCGCTCCAGATGCCTATGGAGGAGTGATCCAGGGACTTACCCACGAGTGTCGGGTCCAGAGCGGGTGCGGAGGTCCCGGGAGTGAAGGGAGGAAGATGCGGCGGTGGGCCCGCTGAAGGAATCCCGGACTGACATGCGGGGCTGCTGGGAGAGAGGAGAGTCAAGGAGTGATCACGTGGGGAAACCGCAAAGGATCACTGGGAAGGGGAGAAAGCCGGCCGGCCGGCGTCCGAAGTGAGAGTAAAGACGCCGGCTCGCTCCCCTCCGCAGTATACAAGTGAATAGACAACCTGCTCCCCCTGTGTGCTGAACCTATACACAGGGGACTAGGATCTGGAGGAAAAGACCCAGAGGAGTCCCCCTGAAGAGCGCAACAGGAGCAGAAGCTTGCAATTGGTGGCTCGTGGCTGGCTCATCAGAAGAGAAGCAACCAGAGGGTGAGTGTGAGCAGCACGGCCTAGCCAATAGTAAACAAACAGTAATTGTATGATTATTGAAGGGGAGACTCCCTGGGGGAGATGGAATGAATGAAAGACGAACTAGCAGCCCTTGAAGAAAAAGGAGAATACAGTGGGAAGGTGGAGGAAGAGAGAAGAGGAGAGGGAGAGAGAAGAAAGGGGGAAAAGGAAAGAAAAGAAAAAGTGTGTGTTGAAACCCGAATACCTGGTCGCTAGATGCTAACTAAAGGTGGTTCCTGTATTTAAATAAATAAGACACACAGAAGTGATGAAGAATAAAAATGTTAAAAGTAGTGGGCTAAAGGGGTCCCAAGTAGGTACGATAAAAAAATATACGTCCCAAGGAAATGTGACACCAGAAAGACCTCAAGGTATTGGCGATAAAAGTGAGTTGGAAATGAGCTTGGAAGCTAGCCGAGACTCTCCCTGGGAATAAAGCATAATAGCCAACAAGTATCAGAGAATGGGGAGAGGAAAAAAAATTGGAAAGTGGATTACAAGTACCAAATAAGAAAGAGATGGCAGATATGTTTAAAAGCCTAGAAAAAACAATAAAACAAGAACTGACAATCATACAGAGTGATCTAGGCCAAATGCTATTGCGGATGGAGGAGACAGAGGAAAGAATTAAAAACCACGCCCAATTTATCTCTGGTTTAGAAAAAAAGATATTAGGAAAGAGCAAAAAAGACTGCTTATAGGATGGAAGTACAGGAAAACAGGGAGAGGAGGAAGAACCTTAGGGTAAAAGGTGTGCCGGAGTCCCTAAAGGGAGAGGAAGTGAGAGACTGAACAGGTGAACCTGGAGGAGGTCTTTAGAATTGGAAGGATCCAATATGGAAATGGAGAAAAGAAACCCAGAGATATAATTGTCCAATTCCAGAAGATTGGTGATAAAGAAGAGATATGGAGAAAGATTAAGGGAAGATCAACTATTAAATATGGAGAAATAGATATACAGATATTTGCAGACTTAACATCAGAGACACTGTGGAGAAGAAGATCTTTGAAACCCCTGTTAGAGCAAATGAAAAAACAAAATGTGCACTATAGATGGGTATTCCTGAGTGTCTAATAGGATGGAAGAATGGAGTTACAGCCTACTTGAGATTTCCTGAGGATTTAAGAGACTTCTGTGATAGACTTGATTTGCAAATTATAGAGATTTCTGGCTGGGAGGAGGAGGTAGGAGACAGTGGAGCTAGAGTAAAGGAAGACTGGCAGTTAATTAGGAGAGGGAGATAGAGGAGGGAGGGGAGGGTTGTATGTTTTTTGTTTTTTTTCCCCCTCTTCTTGCTCGTTTGAACGAAGTACCTGCTAGGGGAACCATGT